TGTAGGTTCTTAGTATAAACCCTAATGCGGAATTTATAGGGACCCTACTAAAAAGTAGGTTTGGGGTTCTTAAGGTAGGGCGTATCGTGTGCACAGGATTTAGAGAGATTGATTCGCCTGAGGTGAGGCATCGTCTCTTGTAGAGCCTTCCGAAGATTCCTCCCCAGGGTTTAGGGTTTAGGGGTTTAGGGTTTAGGGTTTAGGGTTTATGAGCAACCCTAAACCCTAAACCCCAAAACCCCAAAACCCTATAGGCCACCAGCCCTATAAGCCCCATATACTGTACCCTATAAACCCTATACTATACCCTGAACCCTAAAACCCGCAAACCTTAAACCATATACCCTGAACCCGTAAACCCTAATACCGCTCTTTTGAGGCATGTCGTTTCGGGCCAAGGCTTGCTGCTTGCTCAGCCCGGCACCAATCCACACTTGCCACCTGGGCAACCGCAGTCAGGAGCTTTTCGGGTTTAGGGTTTATAAGGTTTAGGGTTTATAAAGTTTTGGGTTTGGGGGTTTAGGGTTTAAGGGTTTAGGGTTTAGGGGCTTGACTGGATTCGGATTTGGGTATAGAGAGTTTTGCTTGAAACAAACAGCGCCTAATACACGGTGTACCCCGGAAGCCAAGACGGTTTGTCTACAGCTGTAGAAATGTAATTGGGGCTAGACCGGATTTTAGAGAGTGTAGCCGTAAAGCAGATGCTGCTGGCTTGCCCGGTCAGGGTTATAATATTTTGATGGCTTGCTAAAATCTGCGGTGCCGTAGTAATGTTTAGAGAGTCCTGTATAACTAAGTAGTACGGGTTCTACTTGATTTATTCTCCGGGACTCATTCGAGCTGTCTGCCCCTAGAAACCCCAACAAATCCTATAATTCAAAACCTATATCCTGAACCGAAAAGGCCAACGCCCGACTCCACCCACCCACACTCTCGCACACAGAGACACACATTCACACGCACACATACACACTCACACTCACACAGAACCACGAAGCCAAACTCCCAAGCCTGAAACTTAAGCAATTCAGTCCCAAACGCCCTCAACTCCCCAACCTTAAAACAAACACTAAACCGAGTAAGAAACCCGCAGGCCCTGGAAAGAAACAGGAACGCTGCCGGGCCGCATTTGCCCACCCGCCAGACGTCGGGACTTCCGCCAGTGCCTTTCTCAGCCTCAGCCGCGGCGTCAGGGTTTGTGGGGGGGGCCATTGAAACCCTCTAAGACACTTAAAGAGACTCTTGTAGAATCTCAGGCTTGGGTCCTTAGGACCCTTTGGGAAAAAGGTTTCGTAGGGCTCAGGTAGGTTTAGTCTGAGACCCATTGAGCTCTGAGTCGACATCGGGTTAATTTCACCGACGGCAAAGGGTTCAGGGTTTACGATTTCTTACTTAGGGTTTAGGGTTTAGGGTTTAGGGCCCGAGCCCTTAAAAGACCCTGAGCTTTCCAACCCCAACGCCCCAGAGCTTGCACACCGACATAACCTCAGCTGGGTGAGCGGCCAGGGCTTCAGCTCCTCCATCCAGGACTCCTTTTCCTGCAAAAAGGCTACTTACCATTTCCCTCAAGTAAGACTTCGAAGTATAATATTATATATACATATACATATTACAACATATATAAATATTGATCTATATATATATATATATATGTGGGTGTAGATCATTACGGTTTGGGCTTCCAGTCTTACGGTTTGGGGCTTCCGGCCTCATGCAGGAATGCGTTGCTGGCACACGATTCAAACAGTACCGAAACCCTAAACCGCGTGGAGCCCTCGGGGGAAGGCCTCGCTAGTCAGCGCCGCCGAGAGCGCGAGCAAGGCAGCCTACATGCTCAGGAAGCTTCGGGCCCAGAGAATGCCTACCAGGACCCTCCAAGTACCCTCAAATAGGGGTTTATGGTTCCAAATTAAGGCAATGTATATTAATATAGGGTCTCATAGAGGGTAGATGGCGGGTCTACGTAGGGTTCATGAGGATTCTAGGGCTTCAGGATTTCAGGTTTTGGGGTGAACTGCCTGATCCCTATCAACCCCAAACTCTCTATAATGGGGCCTACAGTAGCTTGCGGGGTCCTTTTAGGATCTTTTGACTTAATTTTCGAGCTTCCAGGAACTTTGCTTAGATCAAAGATTATCATGGGTACCTTATAGTAAAATATGGGTAGTTCTCTAAATTAGGGTCGCTGTCGGGGTTCTTTTTATAAGGATGCTGTACTATATTGGGGACCCAGAAAGGGACCCTAATTTAGGAAACTACCCATATAGCTTTCTAGCCTAACATATGTCTTTGGCATATCAATATCCCATCCAACAGCTTAGGTGGGTTCCTTGGTTGGTTGCGGAATGTACTCATGTTTGAGACGATCAGGAGACTTGGCCCATAGATCATAGCTCGGGGTCTAAGTCGAAGTACAGTCATGGGGTCTTTCCCAAACATGACTCTGCTCATTCACGACAAAGACACATACCCTTCAGCACTATATGCTTTAGTCGGAAGTCCAAGACGATCTGGTATCCCAAGGTCAGTGAAAGCCGACAGTCTAAAGCAAACAACCTTGATATCAGCAGTTCGAAATATGGGAGTTTCCGAAAATGGGGGGGGGGGGTACCGGGTACCTTATTTTGGGGTCCTTTGCATCAAGATACTACTATTTAGGGTACTGTCATAGGGTCCCCTATTTTCGGAAACCCCCATATGGCACCCCTATGCCTGAGAACCCCATCTCATGATCCTTTCACTACACAGGCTCGGCGTATCAGCTTCGGCTGGTGGGAAGATACCCGCACGCCGGCCAAAACGAAACCACAGAAGCCCCAAACACATGGCCCTAAACCCTAAACCCCTAAACCCTAAACCCCAAAACCCCCAAACCCCTAAACCCAAACCCCTAAACCCCGAAACCCTAAACCCGAAATCCTAGACCCTAAACCCCATTGGGATTCGGGCTCTTTAGGAGGATTCGGCCTTACAGCTTAGGGTTGCCGGATTAGGGGTTGATGGGTTGAGGGGTTTAGGGGTTTGGGGTTTAGGGGTTTAGGGTTTAGCGGTTTAGGGTTTAGCGGTTTTCGGGTTTACGGGTTTAGGGGTTTAGCGGTTTAGGGGTTTAGGATTCTTGGGGGTGCCCCGATTTACAGAAAAAAAGAACACTACGACGGTCACTTCCGTCGGGACGCCTTCTCCGTTGAGTGAGTGGGTGACTGGAGTGCAGTGGTGGTGGGGTGTAGGGTTTATAAGGTCTATATAGGTGGCGCGGACAAAATGTCAAAGCGTGTCTTGAGGAGGGCCATAGACTGCATGGACAAGCCTAAGCCTCAAACCTGGAAATCCGAAATTCCTACGCCGAAAGCATACAACGACCCCTTGCCTCCAAACTCCAAGTACCTATGGCAACCATGACGCCGCTTCATGCTATCCTAAACAAAGTACCACCCTGAACCCAGGCGGCTGCTTACCGAAACCCTCAACCCCCGGAACCCCAGGCAATAGCCCCCTAAACCCAACACCCAAGCTCTACCACCCCTAGAGTTTAGGGTTTAGGGGTTTAGGGGTTTAGGGTTTTTTGGTTTAGG